GCTCTTTTTATTTTTATTTTAATCTGAAACATCCCAAATAAAACCAATTAAAGGAATTATGTGCCTAAGGACCAGTGGGGAAGAATGGAAATTCACTGATCAATTTAATAGCTTTACAGATGCCTTGCAACATCCCTTGACTCTTCACTAGGAATGAAATGATCACATATAGAAAAACTGTTGGTTTTCTACACATTAGTATGAGCACACAATTTTCTTCACGTTCATATGTGAAGCCAGAGGTATGGTATGCCTGTGAACTTTTCTTATCAGTTCAGAGCCATGCAAAACAGAATTGTCTTCCTCCTCTTTTCTCCTTTTTTTAAACCGAGGTGTTAGGAGAGGGGTTTTCAGGCTTGCTCAGCGTTAGAGCAGCTCTTCTCCCATGGAAGGTGTTAGCAGTTGTGCGTCGTTGCCTATGGAAGCAGACCCCACTGAGTGGTTTGGAGACTGCTGAGCATCTCTAAGGCTGAGCGAGATGGAGGGCTGTAGCAGAGGGCTTGCAGGAGGAATCTCTCAGGAGCCGGCATTCAGTCTTCCCGTGGACTCAGAGTGCGCACAGCAAGCGCTGCAGCACAGCCTGCCTTAGCATGGCAGCCCCCACGCCTGGCTGGGGAGAGCGCTGGGTGCAGCACCCCCTGCATTCCTGGGTGGGAAGCTCCTGAGCTCTCCCTGAGCTGCTTCCCGGGGCTGTTGGAGGCGAGAGGTGTGAAATCCTGCTTGTCCGCTTGGAGACCACCTCTGAGCAATCCCAGTACACGAGCACAGCAGCATCCAGCTTATGTCCTGCCTTCCTACATGCTATGTGTTAATCTAGAGCCATGCTTTCTCTATTTTAGAGATACGTTTGGGTTATTCCAAGCCATCTTTAATCTGTCTCTTTCTCAGCAGGTTTGAGACAATTTGAGAAAGAACCATAGAAGGCCACTAAAGACGCTGGACCAATCAGTTGGGGGAAGAAAAAAAAAAAAGGAAAAAGTGCTAAATTGTTCTTTTTATATTTATGTTTATTTACCAAAATGTCTTTTTGCATTATCCCAGTTAAAACCATGTATATTAGCACTGTATTTAATAATCAGTCTAGACATTCATCTTAATAGTACTGCCTTTGCACAAGAGCCTTTATTCCTAAAGAAACCCATGCTGTGAAATATATAGACTCTCCTACTGATAGTCATAACTAACTATGTGTCTGAACAGTGATTTCAACTGGCATAAAAGGTCAACCCAAAATGCATGTAAAGTGAAGTTGCTCAAGAAAGGTGTGCAGTAAACCTATAAAAACAATGGTTACTTTTGTAATACAGAAGTCTTTCTTTCTGCACTTTAGACTAAGGCATGGAAGAAATATCTTTAGTTGACAATGTAATATTTTCTGTAAGTTGCCCATGTCATGAGAAATACTGCATCAATAACGTGTTTTAATTTTTTTGTTTTATACTTTTTTTAAGTATCAATTTTTCCATTCTAGTTTAAGTTAATACCTGAATTTGGATGATTATGTTAGCTGACAGCGGTACTGATATTTCTTTTTGTTGTTAGTGACTAGTAATTGAATGCAATTTAGATTATATACACACATAGCTTTACAAAGTTTAGCCTAAAGGCACTACTAATGGTAGAATGCTTTAATACGTGCTAGAGTATTATATTTAGTAATAAACATACATAATTAGCCAATATCACAGCTTAAAAAAATAAAGACAAAATCACACACTTTTCTATAGTAAGATTTCATAATTGCCATTAGAGGTATGGTGAGATAAGTATTAAAAAATTTTAAATGTCAGTTGCCCAGTAATGGGTAATTTAAAAAGAAAGTATAGTTTTTAAAAGAGGAAAAGGTAAGGGTATAGAGGGTCAAAAATAGGTCACTTGTATAAAACATTGTAGTTTAATTTATATAAAACTACCATAATTAAAAAAAACAAACAAAACAAACCTAAACACAGTTGGAGCTTCTTTCAAATAACTGTACACTAAATCTTGCCATCCATCAGTGCCGTACACTAAGTCCACCTAAAATGAAGTAAACTTCTATCTTTATAGTGCTTCTTTTTAACTCTCTCTCCCTAATATCCTATTTACAGACGTTTTCATTTGTATATAGTAAACACATGGCTATAGGACGTCAGCTTGGTTTGAATTTACATGCCATACAGGTTAGCATTTACATCCTATGGTGTATGGGTGGCATAAACTGAGCAACTGAAGTAGCCCCTGAGTACACTGTTAACAGCTTTGTTGTGCATCGGAACTGCCGGGATCTCCCTTTTCACCACCTCCATCTTTTACAGCATCTGACTTCTTCCTAAAGAAGAATAATGTTATATTTTAACTCAAAGATGAGCTCTCCTGCTTGGCTGAAACATCTTGTTTACATATAGAGATGCACGTAGTTCTCTGTAGGGGGTGAAACTGTGCCTGACATTGTCTGTGAGTTGTCGTGTTTTTTGTTTGGGGGTTTTGTAAACACTCCTCTGAGTCTTTCAAATACATCCGATAGCTGCAATAAAAATGATTTGTTCAAACAATGTATTCTGAAACTGCATCCACAATAAATGGAATATTTCCATCAGCAGCCCCCTGTTTGTTAATGAGTAGGAATGAGCCAGTTGTTGTAACTGGGATAGGAATTGTGCTAAGGCTGTGTAAAAAAAAAAAAAAAAAAAAAAGTATCACTGCAAAGAACCTTGAAATGTGTCTCTTCTGATGTACTGCCCTACACTAGACAGCCTGTACTGCCCTACACTAGACAGCCAAGTTGTAAAATATATGTATTCTTAAGGAAAAAAAAAAAAATCTTAATTGTCACACCTGTTGGTACAAGACAGGAGCTGTGCATCATCCAGAAGTCAGCGTGCTCAATGAAGTAGGTTCTGACCTAGCAGCACAGCCATCTGCTTTCCTGCTTTGAAAAACGTTTTCTCTCTGAGAGTCATTATTTTTCTTCTATTTGCTTCAGTGGGATGTGCTTCCAGGCTTGGATGATCATGGGGACCAAGCCTGGGGAGCTGCTGGCTTTCCCGTTGTCCTCTGATTCCCTTCATTTTTCCTCTAACGGCAGCACAGCACGTAACACCCTGCTCTAACCAGGTCATGGTCATCCAAAAGAGGCCCCCCAGGCTTCTGCCAGCTCCACGGGAAGCACTGGGAATGCTGCAGCAAGCACAGCTTTCTGAACTACTGGAGGAGAAATAATCGGATGTTGCCTAATTTAAGCTGAAAAGAGCTTGTACGCTTGCAAGCGTGCCTGTTCTCCTGCCTCGTGCTTACCAACTACGCTGCTACATTTCTCTGCAATCTTTGCCGAAATGATGCTTTTCCTCGCTGATGTAGGTAAGCTGCTTCTGCTCCTGGTTATTGCCTTTTCTCAGAGCGTGGAAGCATGCTGGGCACAATCGGTTTTACTTTTAGGAAATGGTGTAAAGTGGTGCAGCCGTGGCTTGTCCTCACCAGCTGGCACCACCTCCTGGCAGAATTCGCCAAAGACAAATCCTGGTGGCAGAGTCAGCAGCGCTGCGTTTTTTGGGTGTTTCGATAGCATTATGAGGTGATGATTTTTCAGACGATACCAGATTGGCACTTTAGCTTCTGATCATGCTTTCCTGCAGCTCACTCAGCATCCTAGCCAGACTTTTTCTTGTCAGTGTGCAGGATGCCACAAAACGGCCTTTTTCAAGCCTGCCTTTGCTTTGGCCTAGCATTACCCATTTGGAAATACTTTAAAGCCATTGTGAGCCTACCTCACAGTTTGCTTTAGTGTTTTTAACAAAAACTTTTGCTACGTTTTCCTCAGATAAAGCCAACCCTTGTCTGGATATATTGTTCTGAATGCTGCCAGCAGAGGTGCAGAAATCTAATTTTGTGTTTGAGACTTCCAGCGCAAGTCAGTCTGACTGTGTAGGTAGCCCTTATGTTCAGCTGGGTGGATTTTGATGCATGTTATCACTGAGTATGATGTAGTCTTCACCTTTTCACCTCTCGTCACACAAGAATTTGATTTCTAGGTGTCCACAGGGAGGGCTATGTGCAGTAATAGGTACAACTTTGTTCTTTAGGGTCTAGCTAGAGCATGATCCTGTTTGATGCACAAGCCACAAAGTAGTCTCTAGGCATTTTCCTTGTACAGGAAGCATAGAAGCTCATTTCTATCTATTTTAATTTTTTTTTAAAAAACCAACAGACTTCAGGTATGGTTTTGTAACTAATTTTATGAAACAATTTAAGCACTCTACTGATTAAGTTTTGTTGGTATTCAAACTTCATTCATATAAAATTTTAAAGCATTAGAGATTCACACTATAAAAATCACAACTATGTAAAAAGCAAAGTAATTAAAAAGAGCATTCCTTGACAACAATTCATGAGCCAGTATGACTGACCGCACTGGAAATAACATATAAAAAAAATCGTGTAAGTAACCAGAGTTTTTTGTTAAACATGTCTTTAATTAAGACAGACAAGGAAAAAAAAGTAATGAAGAGACATTGTCTTTTTTTACTGTTAATCAAGAACAGATTTCTGCTAACCATCTTTACAAGACACCCATCCCTACTGATGCATTCTTACACCAGCTAGTGGTGGCCTCCTAAAAAAGGAGGACAAGTAACTGCTCATAATGATTGTCAAGTACAGAAGAAGAAATCAAGACCAAGCTACAGAGTACATCTTCTCATCTGGAAGGAGTTACACGGAGGTCTCGCAGAAACCACTGGCATTAATATTCTGCTTTGAATGGGTAGTCCTTATGATTGATAGCTCTGAGAAAAGAAAGAAGTGGTTATTTAAGTATTATAGAAAGTATCTTCAGCAGCTTTCCCCTACTGCAGTCTCCTTCTCCCACAGCCAAGCTACTCAAGTTCTACTGCAGTCATTAATTTTGAACACAGGCTTGCGAACAAGCATGTGCAGCACCACGATGCTGAAGGGAATGCCCTGAATGAATCTCCTACCTGACATCATTTCCAGGACATGCCTTGTTACCTGGGGTCCAGGGTTTAAGATATGAGCTCTCCCCGGTTTTGGTCACATATATTTTCAAGATACGGGGGATGGAAACACAGATAGAGATAGGCTAATGGATAATAAGGATAATAAGGAACATACTGGAGCACTGGAACCGCTCGCCAGTTCCTGTTAAAGCTGAGGATGACATCCATCTCCTTTTTAGACAGTTCGAAGTCAAACACCTAGCAGGGGAAAACAAACAAACAAATCATCCCTTTTTACTTAGCTTCATAAGCGATTAGTTACTAAGTGTGCTTCATGCATTTATGACTTGAGGTAGGAACACACTGCATCCACACTAAGCATAGTTAAGAAATCCTCTTATTTCTCAGCCAAATACCAATTTACCCTTGGAGTAATCAACACAGTCCTTTTCTCTCCAAGGTGTTGTTCATAGCAATGTCTTATAGTTCTGTGTGGTTGAATGCAAACACCACTGCAGTTTGTGTTGTAATGCACAGACGTAAAACTTAAGGTGCTAAGGATGGTTTGCTTGATGTGTCACAAATACTGGAACTAGCAGGAAATATTTCTGCTACAACAGAGGACTACTGGGTACAAACTGCAAGTATTTGTCTCACAGTTAAGCAGTCATCTAAGACTTCTTGCTGGTGGTTCATAGGAGAGAAGTCCAAAAAATGTAGCAGCATGAATTGAAAGTAACACAAAGACATCATCTAAGATGCTGGGCCTTATGAGCAAACATCCAGCTGAGTCTCCCTGCCAAGGGGAACCACAGCCTCCAAGTGAGACATAAACAGTAATGGGTCTGGTGTTTACAGTTTGTTCCTTTGAACCCTAAAGAGGGGCTCGCTAAGCATTTCCCAGAAGGAAAGTCCAAAACTGGGATTCCCTTTCCAGGGCAGCAGAGCTTGGACCACCCTGGTGTAATGCATTTCTCTCCTGGCAGGAGCAAAATACTTTTTCCCAGAGAACAAGTGCGGATGGTTAGGTAGTGCTGAGCCCCAATCTTTACATCTCCGCGCTCCCCTTCCAAAGTCTCTTAGGTGCTGCTTGGAAACACAGAGGAGATAGGGGTGTGGGTGCCTATCCTGTGTAAAAAGTGGCAGCAGTCCTAAAGGAAACTTCACCTTGATGTTCTCCTCAATGCGCTGTGGTTTGTCAGACTTGGGAATGACAATCACGTCTCTTTGGATAAGAAACCGGAGCAAAACCTAGGGAAGGTCAAAGACAGCGTGAACACTGGGTTACTGTGAACTTTGTTCAAATGCATTTTGTGTTCCCTCTTCCCCCCCCTCCCGGCCCCCCCCCCCCCACACACAAACCAATTTCGCTTTTTACAACCATGTTCACTCTGGAAGATTCTACCAGTTTGCATACAGGAATTTGATGTGCCAACATTTGTTTGCAGTCTACTGACACACTGTAATTGTTTCTGGCTTACGTTGTTCCTACATCCTGGCTTCTTCAGGATTTGCTTTGTTTTCATTGGGGGGGAGGGGGGGGAATGATGATGCTTCTGGCTTGCATTATATGGGTGCTCAGACCAAATAAGCACAACTGGAGAGTATTTTGGGCACACAGGTAAGTACCTCACCTAGGTTAAGTTTTTGAAGTGCTTAAAAGGAAAAACATATTTATAGCTTTTAAAAGTTGCCCTCCCCCCCTCCAAAAAAGAGAGGACTGTTGTGTACAATTTTTTGTCATGCTCTTACCTGTCTTAAAAAATAGGACTATGGCTGATTGCCTGTGAGCATATGAGTTTGGCTAAAGTGCAGCTTCTGCACACCCTGTGCAAGAACTCGTTTGTGTGACAAAAAAGATTTCATCTTGAATAATCAAGCAGCTTTCAATGATTCTTTGTGAACATGAGCAAACAGGGAGCAATCAAATAGGTCTGCAAATTACAGCGCTTCTCTGAAGAATGACTTGCGTAACTTAGCTGGAGAAAAGAATAACACGTTGGCTTGATGATTTGTAAATAAACCTCAGAGGAAAAGGGTTCTCGGGAAGCAAACACTTCTCTCTGGGAGCAGAAGAAATCTCCCTAAGAAGCAGGACACCTGAGGTAAGCACGTACCACTGCTGACCAGCCCCCCCGAAAGCTCAGCACTCAAGACCTCTTAGAAAATACCTGACAATTCATATGAATGCTGGCAGGAACTGGGGCAGTATGAAGAATCAAGTGCAGTTGAATCCCATGATACTATACCTTAGCACCTGCTAAGACTGGCCATCGGCTTGTAAAAATGTCTGAGGAGGAAGAATAGTTTGCCCTGACAACCCCCCTTACCTGGGCAGGGGTTTTATGATGTCTAGCTGCAATTTCTTTAATCTTGGGATCATCCAGCAGCAGAGGGTCCCCTGGCTTGGCCCTATTAAAAACAAAAGCCAGGATATTGATGGTAGTAAGGTATTAGCTTCCCTGTAGGTGGCCTGACATTTTGTATGAAATAATCTGCAACAAAACAGCAGTGTTTTTCTCATTATACTTGCATTATTTGCCTCAAAGATTCAAGTGGCAAAGGCACTGTTTTGCGTACGGAAAGGCTGCAATGCTTTCTTACCATGGGCGGTTAGGAGAGCCAAGGGGGCTGTACGCTGTCACAGCAATCCCTTTGGATTGACAGTACTTGATCAACTTTTCCTGGGTGAGGTACGGATGACATTCGATCTGCCAACACAGAAACATGCTGGTTGACACAGAGGCAGACTGCACTGAGCTCCAGAGCATAACTAACATTTTAATTCCTCTTCTTCACAGAAAACGTGAAGAAAAGAATCCCAATATCATGATTAAAATCTATGTTATAAAAGAAGTTATTCATGTTACAGCAATATCTAGAGGTCTGGCACAAAGAACAGGGCTTCCTCATGTGACATACGACCCAAAGATAGCGAGAAATAGCCGAGAAGAGTGAAAGTGCTATCTGTGTCAGGAATTGGGGAAATCCATCCTTCTGGGCTACTGGAGAGCAGGACTGCATCTTCAGAGGGGTAGCTCAGAATATCTGAAGTTTAGTTTCTGCTCTGAGTCACCCACCCTCTCTTCTCCTCAAGGAGTCTCCCTGACTCCTGAAGAAGCCTGGGGAGATAAGCTTCCCTAGGTTAGCCCAGATCGTGCTGCAACCAGCCATTTGGGCAAGACATCCTTTAACCGGGCAACAACAGAAGCCTACACGGGGATGCTGCTCAAGTTGCCACAAGCCATAGTATGACCACAGGGCTATGGCTACACTGCATAATGTGGCACCATGCGCATACCCAGCTGGTTCTAAATGCTACAGCTTTGCTACCAGGCATGGTGACATGAAACCCATGTACAGTAGTTTATTTAGACTTGAACTAGATTAGGCAATGACTAACGACAGCGTGTGGCACAGGCGCACCCACAGAGAAGCAAACTGGAGTCAAAGCCTGAAGTTCTTTAAGGTGTTGAAGTTGGTGCAGCTTTTAACATAGGGGTAATTGGGTCCATCCCCACCAGAACTTTATAACCCTCAGTAACATCTTTCCAAGTCCTGTGTGCCCCTTGTGCTAAGCCTGGCCAATGTACTCACTAGCCCCAAGTCTGGCACCACAGCACAGCAGCACCATGCCTGCACGGGGTCCAGAGTTGGGGTTTCCCTGGCTATTCCCAAGCCAGCAGAGGTGGGCATCCAGCACCCTCAGTCAAATGCAAAGAAGTCGCATATGGAAGAAAGTCAGAAGGTCCTGATGCCCCTGCTGTGATTTCATTCATGAGGTACGTGGTGAGAACTTGTTACATAATTGTATATTTCAACCCTCCTTTTTATAATGAGGTTCAGTGAAAATATTTCTTCTGTCTTGAAAAATAAACAAGTCCAGCGAATGAGTCAGAGCATTCTTGTACATTCCCATGCCTGTGCAGTAGCTTGGAGTGGAGATTTTGTCGGTTATTCCAGGAATGGCAGAAATGGGCCTGTAGCAACTTGGGCTGTGACACTGGGAGTGTGAAAGACGACGTGCAAAAAAGTCACAAGGTCTTATACAAGGTAACAGATATTTCTACTTTTTTCCAGTGTCTAAAAATGAAATATTGTCTTGCATTTCATATTACTGCGATATGAATAATCCATACTGTTTTGTATGGTATTGCTCTCAAATCTCCACTGCATTATACACACACAACTCTACAAAACAGTTTTCTGTTGAGATCCCTGTCAGCTAAAAACTATCCACTAACACTCTACTGAAGTAGACAGCACTGACATGGAGGGACTTTCAGACAACCAGAGATACCTAGATCTTTCCATGGCACCAAAACTATTTAAAGGTCATGGAAAAAGTCAGTTTTAGAGCTCAAGTGTAACACGAAAATACTTAGGAATATTCCAAGGTTAGTTGACATCAATGGAAATAAAAATCTTACCTGGTTATTTACTGGCTTGTATTTGAGTCCTGGCTTGTTTAAGATTCTTTCAATCTGCTCATGGTTAAAGTTGGAGATGCCAATGGCTTTTACCAGACCAGCATCCACCAGTTCTTCCATGGCCTAATGAGTATGGACAATCAACATGTGTTTATGAGGCGGTATTAGTGTTACACTATTCTATTTCCCTAAAGCTAGTGACCAACCAACAAACAACCCAGACTAGATTAAATAGTATCTCAAATTAAAAAAAAAAAACAAACACAAAACCAAAACAAAAAACTTTGCACCTTGTACTATCCGTATGCTTTATGTCTATTGCAGATGAGAAAGGAATATAAAAAGAATGGCTTGGCCAACCTTTTTGTAATGGGAAGCAAAATCTTTTGCTTTGGCTTCATTGGGGGTCATTTTACCAAAGCTAAAAAAGCAAGAGAGATCTCTCCACCTCTTCCCAGGCCAGCACACTACCTCTGAGTTGGCAGAACACAGCAGGGAGGAAGTTAGCATAAACTCAGTTACCTCAAAATACTTTCTTGCAGCTGTAATCTGGTATTGTACAGAAAAGTATTAATGCCCAGAGCTGCAGCATCACAGAGGTGCAGGTAGCAGGAGCAGACCCTGAATCCTCTCAGTCCATGAGGAGAGGAGGATTGAAGGACAGCCTGACATGCTGATGCCCAACACTGAAAAGTGTGAGAATTCCCTATCTGTATGAAACACCCAGTAAATTAACAGCCACACCTGGATTAATCCATGCTTCAGTTCTGCCACTGTGCACATTCAAATATTATTTTAGTGACACCACCCAGAGAGCTCAGTTTTCTCCTCTTTAGTCTTAGCAAAGACAACCCCCTCTTGCTCCTCAAAACAAGAGGTAGCAGCAGCCCTGCTTGTTCTGGTCATGAAATACAATTTTGTGTGACTATCCTCTGCACCTCTATAGCACCCAAACCTATCATTTAATTTTATCGTGCACACAGATCTCTGCTCCATCTCTAGTGCTGACACCTGCTCAAAAGAGCAAACATTAACTTACCTCCCATGTGTCCAGAAAATCCGTATCGCTGGGGATACTCATACCCTTGTCATCCAAAGGATGCAGCTCTTCACCAGCCTGTTATGTCAAGGCAGATAAAACACAGACTTTTAAAAAGAGTTTAATTTCCTACTGTTTACTAGCACTTGTGACTGCAATTATAGGCAGCAAGTTAGCATGTTATTTAAACATACCGCATAACTAAAAATTATGCATGTTCATCACTTTTGGACGAGGGCCATATTTCTACAAATCAATTCCTGCATACAAAGACTGGGGATTAGTAGTAATTATGTGAGTTAACTTAGGCAGATCTAGAGAGAAGGGAACAGACACCGCCCTACCTTTATTCTAGAGTTTTTATTTATTTAACATGGGTGTAGACTGGGGAAAAAAGCACCATGTTCTTTGTGCGCTGTACTTCATTTTTCACTATTGGTTACAACATCTCCAAAACCCGAGATGTTCACGCTGTCCCAGCCCAGCAGAAGGCCACGATCCCAAACTACACCATCATGTGTTGGTTACAGTTTCTCTGAAGACCCAAGGTGGGCATTAGTGGTGCTAAGGAGCTGGGACTGTTTAGTTTGAGGAGGAGGAGGCTGAGGGGAGACCTCATCACTCTCTACAACTATTTGAAAGGACACTGTAGAGAGGTTGGTGCTGGTCTCTTCTCACAGGTAATTAATGACAGAACGAGAGGGAATGGCTTCAAGCTCCAACCAGGTAGATTTAGACTGAACATGAGGAAAGAATTTTTCACAGAAAGAGTGGTCGGGCATTGGAATAGGTGTCCCAGGGAGGTGGTTGAGTCACCATCCCTGGATGTGTTTAAGAGCTGTTTAGATGTGGTGTTGGGGGATATGGTGTAGGGGAGACCTTTGTAGAGTAGGGTAGATTGTTGGACTCGGTGATCCCAAGGGTCTCTTCCAACCTAGGCAATTCTATGATTCTATCATTCTAAATGCTTGCTACTTTCTCTTCAGGTAAGAGCCAAATGAACCATAGCACATCCCAGCTGCATAGGGAGGACAGTCACAGCATAGATGAGAGAATACATCGTGTTTCTAGCCAGGTAAGGAGAAGAGGAATGCAGAGGAGAACTACCTTGAATCCCATAGGGAAGTGTATCAGGTAGAGGTCAAGGTAGTCCAGTTGCAGCGCAGCGAGGCTCTTCTTACATGCTACTTTAACCAGGGACTTCTCGTGAAACGTGTTCCACAGCTGTGGGAAGAAACCAAGCCTGACCATGACTCTACACCTTCCACAGTCCAGATCAGGGGACAGAAGCTTCTCCCTTGGCGGTCTGGGAGGACAACGCCCTCCCCATCTACCCAGTGCACAACGAAGACAAGGATGCCAATATTTTAATGGTAAGGTAGGACAAACATACCACAAATAAGGGAGTCAGTAGTGAAGGTGGACAATCAGTATTCCTACTTATGAAAAGGGAGTCTCAGAACTAAATACAACACCCTGCCAAGTGTATCTGACACAAAGCTGTTAGTGTCATAATTTTTTTTTTTCAGTCTAAATTTTGAGTCTTGAGTAGCTCACGCTACCCTCCTTCCATCCCTTTTATCTGGCCACTGTGAGAACTGTTGTGAATTGTACTTCACTTTTAAAATAAAATTCAAGTCATTTAAATAGAAGAGCTTGTAAGCATTATTCAAATGAAAAGCTATTCTTTTACAAAAATTAAGAGTATGTGGAAAAACTTAGTTATGCTCAATGTTTTCTAGTTTTGATGGTGAAAACACTGAATCATATGTTTTTTTTTAGTTGAAGTGTTCTCACTTTTTGGTAAAGAGCATTGCTGAGTAGATGAGATGAAGGAATGGAGTAAATACATGGAAAAAAACTACAGACCGAAGTCCCATGCTTTAATTTCTATTGCTTTTCAGGCTTACATTTTGTACATGACACCATTTTCAAATGTCTTGCACACCACGAGGTAGTACAGCACCTTTGAATTCAGACATCTGTTGGTTTGGGTTTTTTTTCCTGATATTTCTAGGCTGTGTGCAAATGGACTTTCAGTATAATTAAATGACTTAATTGATGCAAGGAAATTATTAGATCAGCAACAGCTACTCTATCTTTGCAAAGTTGTCAATGGCTCCTTAGGTAAAGCTCAGTCCAAATTGCAAATAGAGGATGGAATTTATAGCACACAACAAGACAACCATGAAATTAATATCCTAGAAGGGAGTATGTCCTCAAGTTACTTTACAGATGGAACAAGGGTTTCTCTTTGAGAAAAGCTGAATGCCCCAATAATCCTGCACCCTTGTACCTTAGTAACAACAAAGAGGTCTTCCCGTTTCACGGCCCCCTCCTTGATCTTCTGCTGGATTGCATTCCCTATTTCATTTTCATTCTGGTAGAAGTAGGCACAGTCGAAGAGGCGGTAGCCAGCGTCAATAGCAAACTTCACCACCTCTTCCACCTTTCCTGGAGGAGCCTGAAAGGAAACACAACCACACCATGAGCTCTTCTGTGGCTTTCTGCCAGCGCTCGCAGCTGCGATAGCTCTGCAAAGTCTCCCTTTCCAGCTGCTGCCGGAGTTTC